TTTCAGTGTGCAGCAATGAAGTCGAAGGCAATTTTGCAACTGACTTTGGCAGCTGCAGAATCGCATCCATGGGTATTCGCGTTCGCAGTAGTCACGCAATCGTTCTTCCATGCAAGTGCACACCACGTCTTCCACATGCACCCCATCTCTGCCACTTTATCAGCGCAGAAGTGAGCAAGGTGAACAGGAGCTGAAAATGGCTTCATTGGTGCTATGTAAAAAAGCAGTATTTATTGATATAAATATTTGTTCCAGAAGTCTTAAAGTCTTTTAACTGTAGCCTTAATAAAATGCTGCTCTCCTGACCCTTCTGAACAGTACCAAATGCGTTACAGCACACGGAGACAAAACAGAGGACAGATTGCAGTGACCTACCCGAACAAGCAGTCTCGTTAGATCTATTTAAGTGAAAGGGGAAGAAGCTAAACACTTCAGGTTATTTTACATTCGGCTTCACAAAGTTCCTGAACACCGACTACGGGTGCTGCAGCCTGCGGTTCTGCCTGCCAGGAGAACACTCAGCACGGCGCCCTGAACCAGCTCTAACTCACTCGGGTTCATCTCCTGTGACAAACCCAAGTCTTGCACCAGCTACGCCAGAAACCGCAAATCTTTCAGCCCATCTAGGCCAAGCGCAAAGATGAGGCCAAGTTTCAACCGACCCCAGATCGGTTTGCTGTACTAAATTAAAAGCCTGTGACGTTTGAAGGCTTTTGCTGCAGGGCAGGTTCAGAAAATGTTACCAAACCTGTAGGCACCGCAGATGGCACTGAGTCACGGGTGCCGCACCCGAAGGTGTTTGGTTAGCAGCGAGAGGGTGATGTGTTCAAGGACATCCTTCGGCGACATACTGGATGCCACCTGCACTGCTTTGCGCTGACGGGACTCAGCGGCTGAACACAAGGCTTCGAGAAGTCGAGATGTCACCCCCCTTTTTTTGTGAGATGGGTCAGGCATCCTTTCTATTGATGTTCTTTTACAACACCCATCAACAAAAGACACGGTGACATATCAGAATTAAATGAAGCAGTATGACCAGCGTGTCGCATGCTGTCCGTTCTTCCTCAGGTTCAACAGATCTGTCCGCTTGGTATCAGGGTTTCTCCCCTCTTGCTCCCTATTTATGTGCATCCTGCGAACGCTACAGGAGTTCGTGCCAGAAAGAAAAGGAAGAGAGTCTAAGCTCTGAAGGCTTCATTTCCTAGGTATTTAAATACTTCCCTGTTTTTCTAGTTAATTCCAGAATGGGTATTTCTCATTAAATCCAAGCACAGTTTGGTTCTACATGACCGAGATTAACTTTTTACGGCCTTTATAGAATTCTGTAATAAAACATAATTCATTGTTCTTCACCGCATCAAAGCCTGAATAGGATGTCAGCAATTGTACGTGTCACAAGAACACCTTATTTATGTCAGATGTTGGAAGAGAGGAGGATGCTTGATAAAGAAGGCTTTAGTCCACTTTTCCAGCTCTGTCTTACCCTACTTAATCCTCCAATTACTACATTTGATTTGCCACTGCTGCAATACCTTCTTTAAAATAGATGTTATTTTAAAAAAATTTAAAAAGAAGGTATTAGAAAGAGCACTTCAGAGGAAGAGGAGCCACGTGTGGTGGCACTTCTCAACATGTGGTTGAGAACCATCAGAATGTAGCTGAGAAAACGGCAAACCTTTAAGCGCACATACATCCATGCAAGCAAACAAAAAAACACCCCCACCCATAAAATAAAAGTAAGAACCAAACATTCAAACTTAGCTTATTTTTCAGTTGAGAGTGTTTAAAAAGCATTATGGCAACACTACACACATTAATAGATTTAAAAAAAAAAGACACATGGAGGATCTGCATCAAATTCAATCCTTATCTAAGAAGATAGATGCTAGCACAGTCAATAGAGCTCAGTCAAAGTCTGACTGGGTCCTATTCTATGTCTAACAAAAAGCATCATTAAGAAAGAGTGCAAACTTCTGTACATTATGTGTGTACATGGCAATGTGTCTCACAAAATATGTATAATTGCCTTTATACTTACAAATGGCTTCTCTGCATCCTATCTATCAAGTTGTGTCCTCCCCCCTCTTCCCATTACTCGGAAAGTCTTAACTGATCTGCTGTAAAGCTCCCTTTACCTGCCTACTGCATAGGTTGGTAGGAATGATCGTTTCTGCATTATCTAAAAACAGCCCCTCTGAGGCACAGACGGTTCCTGCAGAAAGTTGCATCCAGCCTCTCCCTGTCCGACCTTGCGCCCCGCCAGTTGCCCAGGGCATCTTCACCTCGTACTTACTATTTCTCAACTGGGAAAGGAAACGAGGAGGTTCTCCGCTAGCCCTGCAGTTAATTTAGGCTTTGCCACACTTCTCTGCCAATTCCGGCTGTATTAGCAGCTTTTAGCTGTCTCAGCCCACATACCACACTGGCTGTGCTACAATAACAGCTCAATTGTCACAGGATAAATCTTCTTGTTTAAGCATCTGAGGCAAGTCCTAGCTGGAAGCTATTCTGCACGCGAGCAAAATCAGGGATGCTGCGGAGTCGTTCCCCAGAAGTCCTGGGAACCTCGGGTTTATGGTGAGGCAAAACGGCACCTCTCCAGTTCACACGGAGGACGACAAGGAGCCAGAAATCTGAAAAATCGGAGAGCCCGGATTCCCAAACTTCTGCGTTCATAGGCCCACAGGGTCCAAAACCAGCTCCGGGATATCCAGCGTCTGTGGCTCTTGCAGGAGCCAGACCTCTGGGCCCTTTTATGAAAGTTTGACACATTTCATCTCCCTTTGGAAATCAGATTGGAGGTGAATTTTAAAACTGCCAGGTTTTGAAGAGCACAGAGTGCAGCACTGTGTTTTGTTTTTCTTTGCTTTTGTTTTCAGTTAAATTTCTCTAATCATACCCATGAAAAGACAAGATGTTATTCATTAGTATTACTAAGTGAGTAAGTTTTGAAAACCTGTGTGCCATTGAAAGTCTCCCCATCATCTTTCCTTCTCCAATTCAAAATGCAAACAACACTTAAAAATGGTTTTACTAAGCTCACAAATCTGTATGGATAGTAAGAGATGTGATGGGGCGATTGTTTTTGCAAGAGTTATTTTTCCTGCCATTTTTTAAAGTTTGTTGTTGTCACAGTACTAAAGATATTCCTTATTATTTACTTCCCTAAACTCAGGAGAATGAATCCGGCTATTTTCTTCAATAGGTATTTATTTCAGGACAGCCCAGTGCAATGCTTTAGATGAAAGGTAGCGTTACTGAGGAGTCTCACATCCTCCCTTCTGAAGGGAGAAAGGCCCTATGTGCTTCCTCTACATCGCAGCGCAAAGTCCTGAGTCAACAAGCCACATAAAGCATATGTGTAAATACCGTCCAAAAAAAGGCTGCTTTCTTCACTTTCTGCCTTGCTGAAGCAACTGCCTTGTCCCCCTTCCCTCCTTTCCCCCGATCACCCACATTCACCCCAGGAACAGCCTCCATCCCATAGCGATAAAGTACGGCAGAAAATACTAAAAACCAACCTCCTCCTGGAAAATAAGTGTCATCATTAAATTCACGAGCTGTTTCCATCCTAATATGCCAGGGGAACGCTCCCCTATCTTTTGCTTTGTGAGGAAAACACACGCCAGCTGTTCTGACTTTTATGAAAAATTTACATCGAGTTCTCGATTTTCTAAGAAGTCTGAATTTCTCCTCCTTTGTCACTGACACCCAAATAAACAAACCAGCTCAAAGCCAAAAATCCTCAAAACCACAATCCAGAGGAGTCATGCCGCAAAGCGATTCAAAAAGAAACCCGAGTCTAGAGCTTCTGCTTTGAATGTCTTCTTTAATCAGGCTCCGAAGGATGAATTCAGCAGGGGAGGGCAGACCCTGCTGGTTTATTTAGTTACTTATTTTAAGTTTTAGTTCAGAGTCAAATTCTCTCAGTGCTTTTCAGTTAACCGAAGGTATTTCAGCATGAGACATCAAATACCAGAGGCCTCCCTGAAATCTGTGTGACTGATCTTACCTAATTAACACACTCTGAGCTACTTGCTTTGAACCGAAAAGTTTCAAGAGGATTTGACTAAGGGCACGAAGGGCTGTGTGCTTACCTTTTGGGTTGGGTTCATTCTAATACAGGCTCCTGCGTAAGGGGGGGGAAGCACAACATGCACACACAAACAGCAGCTGCACGAAATATGTGTTAATGTCACTTATCAGCTATTTCTGTTTCCACTGACATTCAGTTTTAACCTAAAATTAGTTTGCTGTTAATTAAAATCATACACTTCTACTACAGTAATAATATAGAGGGCCAGAGTGTCAGATGCAAAAAAAAAATTTAAATTATTTGATTTTATGCAAGCGCAGATTCCTAACTGGGAGCATTTTGTATGCTGGGGTGCATCTTCTCAACTGGTCACTGGAAGAGTGGCAAAAGTAACTCAGGTCTGTGTCACAGAGTTAGAGGAGAGCAACAGTATCAGCAAAAACCTAGCACTACAATTAGAATACGAATAGCGCAGCTCATTTATGAAGCACTAGCTCACAGAAGATTGGAAAGGATTGATAAAGTGAGATGTCTCATATACATCTGAATACATACAGGTTTGCTGTTTTATGCGAAAAATGTTCATCAGAAGCAAGTTTTGCTCTGTGAGTACCTACACAGTGGCAGTCTCATTTGTTATCCTGCTAAAACAATTAACAGTATAATAGTTTTCAAATAGCCTTCCAAGCTGTTTTGTTAGATGCATTACTATTTGAAATAGTAGGAGATCACCCATCATTTTGGCTGAGGCTCCTGGATCTCAACATTTTCTTTTTGATCCCCAGATCTGTTGTACTTTACTTATGCAAAAGCCCCCTGATTTCAGCAGATTCAAACACAAAGCTACTTACGTGTGCAAGCACTTGCAGAACCAGGGCAGTGAGCAAACACAATTTTATTCCCTTTATTCTACTGTTTCCCCGGCATAAAAACCTTATTGGTCTTCTACAACGTTATCTCATACCTTGTCTGTCTTTTTTTCTTGTTTTTCCAAAATGGCCATGTTTTCTTTCAGAATTTTCACAATCTCAGCAGGATTTTTGTGCGATTTACTAAACAAAGGCATGGTTTTTCTTCACCTGGATTTCTTCCTTCAGGATAGAAGACGACTGCCTTAAATCAAATGAGAAACAAAAATAGCTTTTAAGGTTTATATGAAAATGCAATAAAAACACACAAGGACATTAATGAACAAGAAAAAGGTATGCCTCAGGCACTATATTTTGCTTCAGCTACTCAGTAGAGCAGTAAAAGTTCTCACACACAGTTATTGCAAGTTCATCCAGGATTCACAAGCCATCATTAGCACGTGGAAAGCAACTGCTCAGCACCTGTGCAGGAGCTGGATGTCTCCTAAAGCCCCTGACCTACAGGTCAGCGCTCCAGCGAGTCTATGCCTGTGTCCAATGTTTTTTGGACACTGCATATCTGGCAGGCTCCACTAGATTTCTGATAGTGGCTTCTGCCAAACTTCACCAGCTTCATCGCGATGCAGATAACTAACTGTAGACGCCAGCGTACCAAAAGCGTCCTTTGTTTAAAGCATCGCAAGGTAAGGTCCCAGCTTCTCCACCATCGCTCCTTCTTCTTCAGCTGCTTTTCTTTTTCAGCCGAAAGCTTCTCAAGACGAAGCAGTTGAAGCTACCCCCTAAGTCTGACAAGCTTCGAGAATCTGTGGGTCAGATCTCACCTGTGTAAAACATTTCCTGAATTAAATAAGAGGATCAGGCCAAAATACGGACACAAATGTTTTCATGGCATTTAAATGAAAGACTGAGCATTTTAATGAAAATGGTTTTGTTTGTTTAATTTAAAACATTCTTCCTCTGTACAGTTAGAAAGGCAAATACCACATCACTCTATTTATACATGAAAGAAACCAAGTAGCTTAGTTTCTGAGCCTACAGAGCATAAAGTTGTGAATTCCCATGGGTTTTGCTGAGGGTCCAATACAAAGATCTGCTGAAGTCAATGGACAGACTACAGATGGGAATATGCTCTGGTTAAGGCAGTACCACTTTCCAGGGAGAGCACAGCACCATTCTGGACTGCATTCCAGTTTGTACAATAACAAAGAAGAGGTAAAAAAAAAGAAAACAAAAGCAAAAATAATCTCAAACTTTCATCTCTTTCCACAACAAAAGACAACCATCACCATCCCTCCCTACACACATTTGCAAGTTGTGAAAACATGAATACATACATAAACCACTTCATTCTCCTTATTCTTCTTCAACTTTTACAATTTTAAAAAACCTTTATACAAGAGGTTTTAAAGGAGAGAATTAAACGAGCACAATACACACAGTATAAAGAAGAAAACCCAGTGGTCCCAAAGAACCCACTCCTCTCATGCTTGGTTGGTACTCCTGACACGGTACAGAGTCCATCAGGAAGTATGACCCCATTTGTGCCATACATCCATATGTTACTAATCCCCAAATATCCTATGGAATTAATACCCAGATTGGATATACATTCTACTACAACTATAAATAGCAACCATATAAAACAGCCAAGTACAAAATTCAAACCATAGAGGAGTACTTTAAAAAAATCAAAAATTAAAAAAAAAAATCTATACAGATTCTGTCCTAACATCTTATTAAAAAAATTTCAAATTATTTTTGCAGATTATCTTTACAAGAACAGTTTCTATGACACGCAGGAAATATTTTAAAATGTCTTATTTAAACCAAAAGTCCCTTTATAGCGTCCAGAGTAGGTGAATTCATATACAGCTTCTCATGTGTTGCTAGGTCAGTTTTACAGGAATATTTTCATGTTCAACATCTGAAAGCTTACCACTTTCGGATTTCCATTTTCAAGCTCCTCACGGTTCAGTTCAAACTCATTTTTATTTCTGCAGTTTTGGCTACGTAGCCTTCACTCCTTGGCTGAGCTCTCAGTTGCGGAGTCCTGCTCCCCTGGAGCTCACAACTGCAAGCTTTGGCAGCACCATCCAACTAGCAACAGAGCAGAGTCACACCTCAACCTGACAACGTGCAAGACTGAAGTCTGGGTATACTAACGACTAACTCATTTGGGCACGTTCAGCTACATACAAGCACTGGAAAAGAGTGGGATGCCACTATTATACAATAAATTTGTTTAAACGCTGCTAGCAAGCGCCAAGCACCTCGTAATCCCGCACGTGCTGCAATTAGAAGATTAATAATTCACAGCACGCTTCAAGAAGGACATGATTCTGCATGTTTTTATTATCCGTGAAGACACGGCATGAGGATGTGAAGATACCAGAGAGAGAGAGTCTGAGAGCAGAAGCTTAACAGGCACATTCCATTTCAGAAAAGAAGTATTTTCATCCAAAGTGGGGTAGGTTTATTCAGATTGCTGAAGCCATCCCTTCATCTTCCCCTTTTAGAAGTCTCCACACAAGGAAAAGCAAAGGGGGAGATAATTTGATATTTAAATGGAAGTACTCACGAGCTAGAGCTTCTGAGATTTAAAAAAAATGAAGTCCACATTTCTAACTGAAATGTTGACTATAAATTATAAACACATTTTCCTCCCAAAAAGTAACTTATATAACTGTCTAGAGTATGGTGTCTGTATTTAAATAATCACTAATTTTGCCATAAAACTCCAACAGTCAGGCTAGCACTTTTCCACTCTATAGTTCCAGTCTCACCACAGCACTGCTCAGTGATAAAATACCATTTCTCTCCACTTCATACCCTACCAGTGTCCTAATTGCAACAGCGAAATCACTGATAACAGGGCAGGAAGGGACTCAAGAGACTGTTTAGTTCACCCCTTCGCTGAACAGAGCCAAGTCTCTGCTTCACTTCATTTATCAGTTTTACATACAAAGCAAAGCATCTGCTGTATGCAAGCAGAGGAAGACAGAGAGAAAAAGGGGAAGAGCCCCAGATGTGCATCAAAGAACATTTTTGGATTTACCCCTTTTCAGGACACAGGTTTTAACCCATCAGCATCTGGCAAAAGATGATCCGTCACTTCAGAAAACACATACTGGCAGCTGCAGGTTATGGTCCCTTTTGCTTCTCCATGCAAGAATCTCCTAGGGGGCACGTGCTATTCACGATTACAGGTAGAAGCAAACGGGGGTAAAGTCACATTGCTGAGATTTGGGAGCTGTACTCCTTAGTCTTATGGCTGGCTATTCCATAAGACACATGGCAAAACAAGGACTCCTCTCCTCCAGCTTTGCTCCTCATGACTGGATCCTCCAGCATCAAAGAAAGCATGAGCTCTTGCTAAAGCTCTTAACACAGCTGGGCATTTCTGCCCTGTCCTCCTCCTTGTATCAGCTTTCTGTTCTCTAAGCTTTACTTGGCAGGTCGTCCCTTCAGCAGGGGCATGAATTTGGTTTAAATTCACTATTCCTTTAATCACTTATTTTCAGTCCATTTTTTGGAATTCGGTATTTTCCAGGCATCTAGCCCTCTGTCAACGTTGCTTGAAATTGGCTAGTAAGTTCAAAAGTTACCTTGGGAAAAGAAGTAGGATGAGAGATGGACAGTGTGACCACATAAGCTTCGTTTTCTCAAGAAACCACTCTAAAAATAACTGAAACACAAAGATGAATGACAACTGAAGAGAATGCAACACAGGCTTACCAAAGGTAGCTCATACTACAATTCCTTATGAATATATTTTTAGACAGAGGAAAACACAGTAGAACCCATGCATCTGACATGGAAATACACTAAATTGAATATAATAGAAAATAAACTAGTTGAAGGAAAATTACCATGTAAAGGGAGGCTGATCATCTGAGAAGGTAAGAGCAATTTGGGGACAGGATCTTATTTAGAAAGGCATGGGAATTAAAAGCCTACCCAAAAATTGTGGTGACTCAAAATAGGAAGATATTATCAACACAGAAAAGGACTGGAATATCATTACCTGAGAAACTGGATGGCCTGAAGGACTGAGATAATAAAAATGGGATAAAAATTAAGAGTAAAAAGTATCAGATAATGCTGAATAGGAGAAGAGACAGAGAGGCGGTAGATGCCCCATCCTTGGAAATATTCAAGGTCAGGTTGGACGGGGCTCTGAGCAACCTGATCTAGTGGAAGATGTCCCTGCTCACTGCAGAGGGGTTGGACTATATGACCTTTAGAAGTCCCTTCCTACCCAAACTATTCTGTGATTCTATGAATATCTGCTTCAAGCTGAGGCCTTGCCATGAGAAACGGCAAAGACAGATTACCAGTGACTACACTGGTATTTTACAGACAGGGGAAAGACAAACACAAATCTGTGATAGATTAAGAAAGTAACCAGTAGAAATACAAAGGTATGCATGTCTTTGTACAAAGTCTTGACGGAACTTCATATGGAACATTGTACACAATCCTGAACACCTGCAGACAAATAAAATCAACAGAGATTAGAGCGGGTGCGGAGAAGGACCCTAGGCTGGCCAGAAAAACGGGAAGACCAGCATGTCTAGGAGGCTAAAAGTGCTCGCCTTAGTAAGCTTAGAATAAAAATACAGGGAAGCCGAAGAAGTTATTTCAGCTCAAATAACAATAACACTTTATTTATGCAGAAGCAAATGGCTATAAACTGCCAATGAATAAATTTAAGCTGAAAATGCAAAGGTTTCCAACCACTGGAGCTTTGAGATTTTGAAATGACCTACTCTACCAGGCACACTACAGACCATCTGTTCATAAATTTTTGACACTGCTGTCTGGCAGCAAGGGACAGGGCTGAATGAGCCCCTTTCTTTCCTACTTTCTAGGAAAACTTTTTCCATCATGGTTATTCAATAGCATATGTTTTTATAACATCAGAAATGCATTGTGGACACTCCTGAATTCGTAACGGGGGACCAGCCAACTTCGGAAACATTTAGTTGTGATGATGTTATTTCATCATCTCATCATCTTATGTATGCTCTTCTGAGGAGCTTATGAGACCAAGGAAAGAAACAGCTGCATCTCACTGGACCGACTCCCAGCCTCGGATGTTGTCTCTCCTGGTCGCACCGGCAGCGCTGTAGCAGGAACGCCGGTTTCCAAAGCCTGTTGTTGCCATCAGCATGAACAGGACGTTTCAGCCGCCAGAGCCAGAGTCTCCAGCGCATTTTACAAGCCCTACTTTTACAAAAATGC